GACCGCGCCCGACGACTTCGGCATGGTGAGTGACCCCAGCCTTGTGCTGCCAGAGGAGCAAGGCAGGGGGGAGTGGAAGGAGCCCGAGGCGGGGCCCTTTTGGCGCCCGTGGGCGGACGAGTTGAGGGCAGCAGCCCCGTCCGCCGTGGAGGGCGACAGCTGGTCGCCAACCTCCACTTAGGGCCTCGGGCTGAGACCCGGAGGTGAGGGAGGGCCCGGGTCCCCCAGTCCCCTTACCTCCTCATTGCTAGCTACAAGCAATTCCCCTCAAGCCTTAAACCCGCGTGGCCCGGACCGCAGGAGGACATTGGTCCAAGGTCAGGCCCCGGGACGACACTGCGACCCCCTTCCTCAAGTCAGAGGAGGAGGAGGGGTCCGACGGAGGGGCCGCCGACCCCCCTCAGCCGTTAGGGGCAGAGGGGTGATCGCCCCCTCACCCGGACGCCAACCCTAGGACTCCGGGTAAGGGCCGGGGAGGCAAGCCCAGACGGTGGGTTCGCTGGGCCCCGCCCCTCCCCAGACTTGCTCGGGAGCTGAAAGGGGAGGGAGCGAGAAGCTCGCACCCGCAAAAATCCGTCACAACAACCTGTACAAAAATATATGTATAAATATAGGGCCTAATTCAACTCCTAATGAGGGGTCTGATTCTCTTCTTACACTAGTGTCAATGGAATTATACTGGTGTGAGTGAAAAGAGAATCTTTTCCCCTGATTTTGGGACATCCCTTGACTTTGATGAGATTTGGATCAGGCCCAAATCATTCAGTACATATTTGTCTAGGTACCATATTGTATCTTTAGTATTATAACTGCTCATGATGTTTTCCTTTGTGTGTTCAAGTTGTGCAAAGAGGAGTTGTCCAGCTTTACATACCCCAAATGAGCCTTTTAGCCATCCTGTTGCCTGAAATTCATTTTTGCCTAAAGTTCACTTTTCTGATGTGGCACAAGGCACATTTCATATTTCTACTGAAAGACCAGGGTCCCCAAGGAATCCTAACAATAAAACGTTTTATTTTAAAAAATGTTAGTGTAATTCTTTTGAGTCATGTGCTACAAAAGCGATTACTTTTTTGTGTTGGTTGGTTTGTTTCTGATTTAACTGTGGGTATCTGATCTCAGGACAGGTTCCCCTTAAAAAAGATAAAACACCGAGGCATTAAACTGCATTGTATAGAAATTTGTCCTGGTATCACCCTTTAGTGCAGAATAAGGATGTTAAAATGTGGTTAATTGACTTGTCAACTAGTCGATGGAATTTCCATTGGTTAGTCGATAGGCACTTCCCCATTCCTCCTTTGAAATGTACAAGACCCCCCCCGCTAGAAGGGCCGTGCAGAGCCTATCAGTTGGGGAGTCCCTGTTGACCCCAAGCTCCACTGCACCTTTGAAAGGACGAATGCAGCAGTTGCAAAAGGGCAGCCGCCACACAGCTGAGATCAGCTGTGCACTGGCTTCCCCTTGGAAATTGCAGCTTCCTCGCCTTTCAGAGGGGCAGCCATGGAGCCTGGGGTCAGCTGGGGACTCCCAGCTGACCCTGGGCTACTCGTGGCATTTCCTCGGAACCTGGGATCAGCTGACCCTGGGCTCCATGGCTTCCCCTTTGAAAGGTGCGGAGGTGGCATTTTAAAGGGGCAGCCTGCCGTACAGCAGATCCACATCAGAGGGGCAGCCATGGAGCCTGGGGTCAGCTGGGGACTCCCAGCTGACCCTGGGCTACTCGTGGCATTTCCTCGGAACCTGGGATCAGCTGACCCTGGGCTCCATGGCTTCCCCTTTGAAAGGTGCGGAGGTGGCATTTTAAAGGGGCAGCCTGCCGTACAGCAGATCCACAAAAGCCAGGTCTACACTAGACCTGGAAGGCCGGGTTAAGGTTCTGTGACAGGGCAGGTTAAAGGGCTTGATAGAAGGGGAGAGAGGCAGCTCTTAAAAATAAACAGCAATGGCCCTGGCTGCCATAAATCAGTTAAGGGCCAGGTGAGCTGATTCAGGCTGCCACATGACCTCTTTCCTGTGGGGAAGGGTGGGGGAGAGTGGAGAAGGAGTTTGGAGAGTGGAGGTGGAGAGGAACCAGCAACCGATAAGGAGATTCAGAGAAGCTGAGCAGAACAACATCAGCACTGCCAAAGACTGCAGGGGGAGGTGAGGGACTCCAACAGGGGATATTTGGAGGTTCCCTTTACCCCATGAGGCCAGAGGAGAACTGTTTACTCAGCCCCGACTGGCCCAGGGAATCATCCCCAACACTCTGCTGTTTTGCCGAGGAACAGAAGGCCATACACTGAAAAAGGTGAATGAGACTTGTACTGTGGCACCTAAACTGTGGGCTAGTGGGCAGAACTGGGGTCTGGGACCCAGGAGTGGGACTGACTTTACTACAGTACGCAACTCCACCTACGTAAAATATGTAGCTGGAGTTGGCTTACCTTAAGCCAAACTTGGCACCATCTTCACAGAGAGAAGCTGACAGGAGCAAATGATCCCGTTAGCTTCCCTTATTTCTCATGACCAAGGCACCAACCGGCGCCACTCTCAGTGTTCAGTTTAGAGGGTCTTAACTAGAAGTTTTGAAGTGTCTCATCAGAAGCATAGATTTCAGCAAGTTCTGGGCTGGAAATGAAGCTCATTTAGCACCACTTCAGTCTAACACAACCTTCTTAAATCAGTTTCAGAAATAAACAGCAGGAACAAAGCTGATTATACAGTTTCACCTGTAAAATGCTGGAGTTTTCTAGGTTGCCGCCATATGAATGCCTAAGAGGAAGCATGTCAATGATAAATGTCCATAGATTCCAAATGGTTACATCCTCTGAAAAAATGCTCTGACAAATCCATCTAAGTCTCTGATTAAGCATTCTTTGATATGATGCTCTAGAGTGAAGATCCCGTGATACACAGATTACAGCCAGTGATCATGAAGCTATATAAAGAGCTCTTAGGACACATGATGAAACTTTTTGTCATTACCAAGATCAGAAAAAAATCCAGCCACCGATGTAACAGCAGCAGATTTTCTCAAGTCTAATACAGATTTTTTTTTTATTATGCATTATGTTTTATAAACCAATGCAGATTAATTTGCTGCATCTCAAATAGAACCTGAAACTTATTATGCTATGTACTGAGGTAAAGGGATTGTATCAGAAGAACCTGGAGGACATGAACCAGAAATTCCTTTTTAATCTGTTACAAAGAATGAATTTAGCATGTCCAGGACAGAAGCTCTCCTGGAGAAAGTGCCTAATATCCTGAAGAACAGTTAGATGAAGTGCTCATATTGTGTGGCTTTCACTGATCTGCATACTAGGACTGGCATTCTCTCTCTCTCTCTCTCTCTCAAAAATAAAAATTTATATATTTTACACCAAGCTTCCTATCTGGTAGAGCCAGTCACTGAGCAACCACAATGCAGACCTCTACATAGGTAGAAAGATATGTTTTATTCTTCCCATGTTATGCTTTCTATGCAAGCATGTTCAGCATAATCAGAAAGTGACTTGCAAGTTGCCATTTGTAGGCCAAAAAAAAATCCCGAAACAAAAAACAAAACCTCTTTGAACCCAGACTGATATGTGAAACTTCTGAGCTGAGATTCATGTGCAAACTTAACACCATCAGAAGGTCTGAATAGAGACACAGAAAGGCTCTCTCATTACAATAAGTAATTTTCCCTTCAGATACTCTCACATTCTTCTCACTGTTGGAGATGAACACTGATTAGCATTGATGTTATATTCCCATCTCTGTAACTCTGCCTTTTTTTCACTTCAAGCATCTGAGGAAGTGAGCTGTATCTAGTGAAATCTTATGCCCTAATATATTTGTTAGTCTTTGAGGT